AAAATGCAATGTATGTGACTCTTCATGAATGTAATATCAACATCTCAATCATCTCAAAACACAACATCTCAAAACACAACATCTCATAAACATCTCAGAACAACAACATCTCATAAACATCTCACAACAACAACATCTCAATCATCTCAAAATAACAACATCTCATAAACATCTCAAAACATCTCAATTATAGCATCTCATAAACATCTCAAAATTATTTATTAAACATCACTTATTTATGAAACGTCATTTATTCATCATAACTATCAAACACAACTTTAATAACCACGTCTTACTAATAACTCAGCTGTATATTAATACTACAGTAATCCATACTGTTATTCTGCAGTTCTACTTCGTTTCTGTCACTAATCCTACTGTCATAATTCTAACAACAACCTCTAAACATCTCACATTCATCAATCTGTCCAAAAATCAGCACAACGGTCATCTACTAGAGTTAATTCTAAATCTTAGATTGGTTACTAGGATTACACCTCTTCATCATCATTTGAATCATCTAGAATAAAGTTCATCGCGTTAGCTAATCAACACTTCGAACGGCATCTCAAACAGCATCCTACAACTCAAGTTACAGCAATTTAAAAACTGATTCTATCAAAATTAGTCAGTATGGGTCGACAAGAAACTCTATGGATTGACGCGTAATGCTTCTGCTGTACAGCATGAGTCGACACATCCTCCTCATGGATCGACTCATCCTGGTTCAAATCACAGCATGTATCGACACATGCACCTTACCGATTGACTCATCCTGAGTCTTGCAACTAACATGTATCGACGCGAGCCCTGCATGCATCGACTCATCCTGAGTCTAACCTCGCCCATGTATCGACTCATCCAGCTTGAGGTCGACACATCCTAGTTCCTCCTGCATAATTCTGTGATTTCCTCTGTATTTTCACTACGGGAATTCATATTACAGCCCTACAAACCTTATTATAAACATAATAAATCATCACCGAACATTAACCTATAATACTACATCGATCAAACGATATCATAACGTCATTATTCATTCAAATGCATCAAATCTTCATCATACATCATCCAATTCAAGAACAAAAACAACAATCCTCTAACCCCACATATCAAACATCATGAACCCAATTTTAAAGTCAAAACCCCACCCTTACCTTGGATTGAAGGTTGCTCTACAATATTCCGGGTTGAATTCTTCGTTCTTGCCCTTTTCTTCCAGCAACTTCACGTTCTTCACAATCCTTATTTCTCTTCTTACTCCTTCCTCCTTCCATTCTTCTTACAAATAATAAAATAACCTAATATTATTATATTATTCCTTATTGGGCTCAAAACCTACACCCCCTTATTACTTCCACTCACACCATATAGGCCCACATTAATAATATTAACTTCTAACGTTATTTCACCAAATAGTAATATTATACCTCTAATATTATTATTTCTCCACTTAATAAAATAAATCCAATTTAATAACACTTCTTCACAAATATTCTAAAAATAATTTAATTAAATAATTAATTAAATTACGGGCGTTACAACTCTCCCCCACTTAGAATATTTTCGTCCTCGAAAATTTACCTCAATCAAACAATTCAGGATAGGAGTCTCGCATCTTGCTCTCCAACTCCCAAGTCATGCTTTCTCCTGCAGCTCCTAGCCAAACCACTTTAACCAAGGCAATCTCCTTGCCCCTCAGAGTCTTCATTTCACGATCCGCGATCCGTACAGGCATCGTCTCCACCGTAAGATTATCCCGTACTTGCACATCGTCCATATGAATCACATGAGATGGATCTGAAATATACTTCCGAAGTTCTGACACATGAAACACATCATGCAAATTCGAAAGATTAGGCAGTAAAGCCACTCTATAAGCAACATTCCCCACTCTCTCTGAAATCTGATACGATCCAATAAAACGAGAAGTGAGATTCTTAGACTTCAATGCTCGCCTAACACCAGTCACATGTGTAACTCTCAAAAACACACGATCACCAGATTGAAATTCTAAATCCTTCCTTCGCTTGTCATGATAACTCTTCTGTCTACTTTGTGAAGCTTTCATCTTTTCCCGAATCAACTTCACCTTCTCGGTAGTCTCACGAACCAGTTCAGGTCCAAGTACTACACTCTCACCAGATTCATGCCAACATAACGGAGTTCTACATCTTCGACCATACAATGCTTCAAAAGGTGCCATCACAATACTAGAATGGTAATTGTTATTATAAGTGAACTCTATCAACGGAAAATAAGTATCCCACGAACCTCCCTGCTCAAGAACACATGCCCTCAACAAGTCTTCTAACGATTGAATCGTTCGTTCAGTTTGACCATCTGTCTGAGGATGATACGCTGAACTCAACCTCAACTTAGAACCCAACGCTTCTTGCAAACTCTTCCAAAAATCAAAAGTAAATCTTGGATCTCTATATGACACGATGCACAAAGGAACACCATGCAGTTTCACAATCACACTAACATAAATCTCAGCCAACTTCGACATTGGAAAACTGATGTTAATAGGAATAAAATGAGCTGACTTCGTAAGCCTATCAACAATCACCCAAATCGAATCATGTACCCTTGAAGTACTAGGCAACCCCGTCACAAAGTCCATTGAAATGCTATCCCATTTCCATTCAAGAACTTCCAACGGTTGCATTAATCCTGCAGGCTTCTGATGTTCAACTTTCGACTTCTGACAAGTCAAACATGCATACACAAACCGAGCCATATCACTCTTCATCCCAGGCCACCAAAACAAACCTTTCAAATCTTGGTACATCTTCGTAGCTCCTGGATGAATACTCAACTTACTTCTATGCCTCTCTTCAAGTATCACTTTCTTCATCTCAGCATCATCAGGAATACAAATCCGATTACGAAACCTCAACACACCTTGCTCATCTAACTTAAAATCACTATTCTCAGATTGATCGATCCCAACCATCGAATCTACCAGTTTCACATCTAACTTCTGAGCTTCTCTGATACTGTCTAAAAATTCATTATTAATCTTCAACATACCCAACATAACACTCTGCGGAGTAACCTCACAAACTAAGCTCATATCTCTGAACTGCTCAATCAATTCCAACTCTTTGATCATCATTGCTGACATATGTAAAGTCTTTCGACTCAACGCATCAGCTACCACATTCGCTTTTCCTGGATGATAGTTCAAACTGAAATCATAATCTTTTAGCAATTCTAACCATCTTCGTTGCCTCATATTCAACTCCTTTTGATCAAATAAATACTTCAAGCTCTTATGATCACTAAACACTTCAAATCTAGAACCATAAAGATAATGTCTCCAAATCTTCAATACAAAGACAACAACAACAAGTTCTAAATCATGCGTAGGATAATTCTTCTCATGAGTCCTTAACTGCCTCGACGCATAAGCAACTACCTTACCACTCTGCATAAGCACACCTCTTAAACCCATCTTGGAAGCATCACAATACACCACAAAAGGCTCTTATGGATTAGGCAACGTCAAAATCGGAGCCGACGTCAACCTCTTCTTCAATTCCGTAAATCTTTCTTCGCACTGAACATCCCAAACAAAAGCTCTACCTTTATAAGTAAACTTAGTCAACGGAAGTGACAACTTAGAAAACCCTTCAATAAACCTTCTATAATAACCAGCTAATCCCAAGAAGCTTCTAATCTCAGTAGCTGACTTTGGAGTTTCCCATTGCAACACAACATCAACCTTCAATGGATCTACAATAATGCCACTACCTGAAATTACATGACCAAGAAAACTAACCTCTTTCAGCCAGAATTCACACTTGGACAACTTTGCATACAACTTCTTCTCTTTCAGAATCTACTATTCTTAAATGTTCAGCATGCTCTTCTTCCGACTTAGAGTAAATCAAAATATCATCAATGAACACCACTACGAACTGGTCCAAATAAGTATGAAAGATACGATTCATATATTCCATGAATACTCCCGGCGCATTAGTAACACCGAAAGTCATTTTTGTGATATGGACTATATCGGCAATGCAAAACAAAGTTATTTTTTAATGATAAACTTAACAATTAATCACTAGTTGTCTGGAAGTGGGCTCATACACATTGCTTTGAGGTATGGCATTTCTCTAGTTGACTAGAAATAGAACCTACCTAAATAATTGTACAATTAGAGATGTGATAGGTGGCTAACTTCCTTCCTTTTATTTTGTACATGTGGTTATGTTTATCTTTTTTTAGCTTGCTATTTCCAAAGGTCTTTGTGTTTGAGAGTTATGAGTAGTCTAGACAATTTGTTTGGTTGGCTTTTTTTCCCTTTTGTGGAGGTTTAGTTTTGTTTGCTCTTCGTTTTGTTTTTTGTCCTGGTCTTGATGGCGTCACTCATGTAACTTTTTCTTTTTTTCATATTAATTTATGTTTCCTACTTTCTATTATAAAAATAAGTATATTGACATCAATCGTTAGTTGGTTCAGTGGTGATTGGCGTTGAACTTAGTAGAAAAAATTACAGTTCAATCTCCCGCGATTGTGATTGGAAGGGAGTTGAAACCACTTGATGCCAAAATTGCTCTCGAACTGGACTATATCGGTTGGGAAAAAAAGTATATTGACACTTACACGTAGTGTATTATAGCATGTAATAAGTAATAATAATATGAAAGTGAAATGCAGTCTTATCCTTTTCATGAGGCTTGTTTCCTAAACTTTCCATTTTTTAAATAATATTGAATCATCCGAACCATGAAATTTTCAACACATCAACCACTCATGCATTTTTTTGGTAAACAACTCATGCATAAGATAATGAACAAAGAGTACAAACAATATGAAAGATAATGTGTTAGGGCATTTCCCATCCACATTCTAAAAAGACCACTAATAACCATCCACATTCTAAAAAGACCACTAATAACAAAATCAACCAAGATTTGGATATCATTAAATTTTAAGAACTTAGAAACTAGAACGATATTACATATCTGAATCCCTAATCCAAACAGTTAGGTAGAAAATTTGCACACATAAAACATGAGTTTTGGAAACACAATTTTTAAATATATCCAATTAAGGATCACATCTTTAGCTTTTGGGCTAGCTTTTGACCGCGCAATTCGATTATATTGATTCTCCAAGTTGAAGAAACTCATCATCTGTGAAGGAGTAATTTGTTGAGAGGATAAGAGATTTTGCTCTGCAGCAACCATTGATAGGTTCTCACTCAAAAACACATATACTACATCCAAACATCTTTGTGGCATATCAATAAACACCATAAATGCAACCTTAAAACAACCTAAACACATGAACAAAACATACCACTGGACTAAACAAAAAAAATAAGATGATATTATTTAAAACAGAGCAAACACAAACCCAATAACTTAGATCTTTAACTTCTGGTGGTGGAAGCTCCGGTGGAGGACGTTTTTCATGTCGGATCCACTTTGGGTCGTTGGTTGGTGACGATGGTGTTGGAGTTACGAGCACTTGCTGGTTGTTGTCGGAAGGTAGAGAAACCATGATGAAGGTTAGAGGTAGAAAAGAGGGGTAAGAAAAACCAACATAAAATGGAAAAGAACCACCATTAAAAAGAGGAAAAAAACCCAAACAAATTGAGAAAACCGAAACCACCATAAACCTTTTGTTAAAGATGGGAGGAAGAAGAAAGGTTTTAGAGAGAAGTTGAAACTTCTCTCTCTAAAACCGTTGAGTTACCACATCAAAATGTAACACCACTCATGCATCTTTACTATTCATAGGAACCAATATTGTAGAACACTCTCTATCTCAATTAAATGTCTCATTTACTCCGCCTCATATTTTATGTCACTAACAATTTCACAAAAAACTAAAAATAAAGTTATCCATGTTTTTTTTATAAAATTTTTTTTTAATTATTTATATGAACTAAAAAATATTTACTCACTATCAAAATAAACGTCTAAAAGTATTTCCTCACTATCAAAATAATTCGTAAATATTCTATTAATTCAATTCAGTTGATAAATGCAAGAAAATTTGTCTGAACTTACATTCATGATATTTAGTTTATTTATTTTTAAAAGATGAAATTTTAACAGATTCAAAAACTAGATTTATACCAAGAGGTAAAAGGTGAAATTTTAAAAGGATGAGTTTTATAAAATGGTTCAAGGCATCCCAAGAGAATGGTTGTGTACGTTTGTTTCTAGTTATAAATTCAGTGAGGGTCCTTATACCTACCTACCCAATTGGGTCTCATGAAAGTAACACTTACTAAGTCTTTAGACATAGTTGGCACAACCTATTTAATGCACCCACATGCAATTCAACTAAATCCAGTAAACTACTGATAAAACTTTACCTCCATTGCATAACAATCTCACAGCACAGCACAGCACAAATAAATACCCTTCAATTTTTGTCATTACTATTATTATTCATCTTCTTTTGTCCTCCTTCTACCCCAAAATAAATGTCTCTTTAATATAAATAATTTGTTTCAAAATAATTGTTTTTTTTTACTTTTCTAATATAATATTAATTGATTTTCATCAATTATATCTTTAATTAATTATCTCTATACTACTCTCAAAATATTAAATTTCACTTTGATTTTATGATAATAATATTAAAGACAATATTATAAATGTGTTAAATTTATTATTTCACTCATTATTATTTTGAATTTGTGTGTCACAGTGTCCTTTTATATCTAGAAGGAGGCAGCATTGATGTTACAGTAGAAGGAGGAAATGCTGTAAACTCCATTTCTATACATTATGGAGTTCCCAACACATTCTTATCTATTTTCAACTGCTTTTCTCCGTTTCACAATATTTTTAGTTGTTTTGTTGAAAACAAAAGCGGTTTTGAAACTGCCGCCAAATGTTTCGATTCCAGCCGTGTTTGTGTTTGGGGATTCAATCGTGGATACTGGAAATAACAACAACATGACAACACCTTCTCGCTGCAATTACCCTCCCTATGGCAAAGATTTCCAAGGAGGACTTCCAACGGGAAGATTTAGTAACGGAAAAGTTCCCTCGGATATTATAGGTAACATAAGTTTTATATTATTCTTTTTTTTATTACGAATCGAAGTGACCAGAGTTGAATCTTAATATACTATTAAAGTTGATGGTTATAACACATGTTTTATTATACATTATTTCTTTAGAAAGATAAAGGTCAAACTATAGTCCAATTGAAGATATCAAAGACACATTACCCAGATAATGTTTAAAATTCGTTACGGTTGGATCGGAATTTGAATAGAGTTGTTTTTGTTTTTCATTTGAAATTGTACTATCAGTTGAAGAATTAGGAATTAAAGAGTATCTGCCAGCATATTTGGACCCAAATCTGCAGCCTAGTGAACTACTCACAGGTGTAAACTTTGCATCTGGTGGTGCAGGATATGATCCTATGACTTCACAATTAGAGGTAAACATATTTTTCACCAACCCCAAAAATGTTACTATAAAAATTGGTATTTTCATTCATGAATTCTTCTTCCTTGCTCTGTTTAAGCAGGTAGCTATATCTATGTCTGGACAATTAGACTTATTCAAAGATTACATTGTGAAACTTAAAGGACTTGTTGGTGAAGATAGAACAAACTTTATCTTAGCCAATAGTCTATTTTTTGTGGTATTAGGAAGCAATGATATTTCTAACACATACTATTTGACTCATGTGAGACAAGTGGAATATGATTTTCCTACTTACTCTGACTTTTTAGTCAACTCAGCTTATAACTTCTACAAGGTAATTTTAATCTTTCGTCGAAAATATTTCACCCACTTTTAATTTTTTTTTTATCTGTCATACATAGTTAACTCAGATGAATAAATATATAATATATATTTGATTGACTATGTGTAACAGATGTATTAAAAATGAGTATATGAGTACCGTTACCATTTGAAAATGTAACAATTTTTTTCCTTTTCCTTACAATTGAAGGACATGTATGAGCTAGGTGCAAGGAGAATTGGAGTATTGAATGCACCACCAATGGGGTGTGTTCCATTTCAAAGAACAATGGCAGGAGGAATAGAAAGAAATTGTGTGAAACAATACAATGATGCATCTGTGTTCTTTAACAACAAGTTGTCACTTGGGATTGATTCCTTTAAGCTGAATTTTCCAAGCAGCAGAATTGTTTACATGGATATTTACAGCCCTCTACTTGATATAATTCTAAACAATCAACAATATGGTAATCTTCCATATCTATATTTAATTTGTTTTTGTTTGACGGGTTAATGATCAGAATACTACATTTTAAAACTGAATAAATAAGACGGCGCAGATTTAAACATTCGTTATCTATAAATAAATGTACACTCAATTATCATATAAACAAGAAAAAAATATTTTTTAAATTTTTTTTCAATTGATTGAATATTTATTTAACCTTTGAAAAATATTTATTGTGAACTTGTAGGATATGAAGTGGGAAACAAAGGGTGTTGTGGCACAGGAACAATAGAAGTTACTTATTTATGTAACAGTTTGGATGTCACATGTTCCAATGATTTGGATTATGTGTTTTGGGACAGTTTCCACCCAACTGAATCTGTTTACAGAAAACTTGTTCCCCCTATTCTCCTCAAATACTTGAACAAGTTTATTTATTAGGTATAAAAACATTGTTTATTGTTTTGTGCGATTATAAGTTTACATAATTATATAATCTTAGCATGGATGATGCTTTGATTAATATATTTAAAAACTTATATTGTTATTTATTAGTAGAATTCACTTTCTCTAAAGTGTAGTAATACATGTATGAAGCTCTTTTTCCTTGACTTAATCCAATTGTTCTATAATGTATATAATAAGAGATAGAGTAAAACATTCAGCTTAGAGATGATCAAATTTAAAAGTATAATTTAGTAAAAGAAGTTTAAATTTTGAAATGCACAAAAGATATATGGAATTTAAAATTATATGATATATCTCAGGTTAATATTGACATATAAACATAAAAAGATTTAGCATTTATTTTTGAAGTTGTGTTTATCTTTGTATACTATAGTTAAAATAATAAATATCATAACTGAGATGAGTTTTTCGATGATCTCATTTTCAATATAAACAACTAAGTTATTTATAAGAAAATCATCTCTGTATTTGTTAAATACAATAATGGAAAAGGCTCTTGAGTTGGGTAATTAGGAAGAAGCAATTTCTCCTATTTTTTCAATGAGTTTGCGAGAGTAGGGGGAGACCATTCTTTTTTAATTAATAACAATAATTATTATCACGTGTGTTCTAAATTGATGAGAAATGTGAAAGTGAGAAATGAATAATAACTACAATAACCTGTCGACTGTAATTAGGGATTATCTCGCCTTAAGAGATCCTTGTTCTCCCAATAGTGGAAGACATGGGAAAAGTAGTTTCCCAGTCACAGAGAAGTAAGGCTCAGTAGGCTAAGTCACATCTTCCTAGGAAATAGGATATAATGGTCCATCATTAACTAAGTGGACGGTTATCATTTTTAGGAAATCCTAACTTCATATCCAAAAGCCTCTATAAATACCTTTTTCCAAGAACAGAGAGAGACATATCATAATACACACGAAATACCTCAAAAGCTACAGAGTTTCTCACCTCACGTGAGCTTTCTCTCTCATCACCGTAAAACATCACAAAATAGGGCATCCTCCACCGCAGGCAAGCCCTAAACCACCATAAAATACTAAGTCCTATGGTAATCCCAACTCGCATATGGATACACTAGTATGTACTTTTTTACAAGTAAATGACGTCTACCGTAGGGACCCGTACTAACCTGGGGCATACCTTTGTCATCATCATTTTCACTACCTTAACTTTAAGATGGCCAACAAATCTCCACACTCAGTGGTTAACACCAGAACCAGAGGTTTCGCCGGTAGAGGAAGCTCTAGATCCTTCAGGAGGAAATAGGTCAGGCAGGCGCTGACTGCAAGCATAATATCCATTGGATTCTCCAAATAAGGCCACAGAGAACCAGAGGTCGGGATCTCATCTTCAAGCATTCACGCCACCATATTCTCTCCCAAGAAAATGACCCAATGGTCATCACTGGGTAGTACGTCACTTAGGATATTAAGCGAGTCTTTATAGACCCCGAAAGCTCAACTGACATCTTATTTTGGAACACTTTCCAGAAACTCCAACTCAATCCTAGTGACATCAAGGCGTCCATGGTTTGTTAGTAGGATTGTTAAGTGAATAGGTACAAGTGAGGGGTCATGTAACCCTAGATACAATATGTAGGATCAAGCATTTACTATTGTTGAAATTCTAGTATAGGTCAGAACTCATATGTCCTATGACATATTTGGACATCTGATATGAACATAAACAAACAGGAAGGGTATAAACATATACAAAATAATATTTAAAAGATAAAACAACAGACGGAGTTGTTAACCCAGTTCAGTGTACAACAACACCTACTCTGGGGGCGACCAAGCCAAGAAGGAAGTCCACTATCAGCAATATTAGTTTAAAGCTAAACTAGTCCCAAGTTTACAACTTAT